TAAAGATAACAAAGTGTGTGTTTGCAAGCTTCCCCATCATCTCTTCATAATTATCCTGGGATTTAGTGAGGCAGGAATTTATTATCACTGTAGTTTTCAATAAGGTAATTTAGGCACAGAGAGGATAAGAAGTGACTTGCTCAAAGCGAGAAGCCAGTAAATAGGGTAACCAGCCATCCCAGTTCACCTGAGACTGTGGGGCTTTGTGGAACGTAGGTTGTATAGTGGGAAAACTGGGAGAGTCCTGGAAAACCAGTCTGAGCTGGTCACTCCACTAGCAAGTAGCAGAGGCAGGGTAACAGCTCAGATCCTGTAACTCGTGGTTTAACACTGTGCCCACCAGACGACCTCATCCAGGAGGCTTGACCTCCTCTACTTTGGCAATTCTGCTTGAAGCCACTCTATTCACTCAGCTTTTCTTTCCTTTTTGGTTTTTTCTGCAGGGAAAGAGTCACCCTGAGCTAACACCTGTTGCCAATCTTCCTCTTTTTTTTCTTTTCCTCCCCTAAGCCCCAGTGCATAGTTGTATATCCTAGTGGTAAGTCCTTTTACTTCTCTGTGAGCCCCCGCCACAGCATGGCAACTGACAGACAGGTGATGTGGTTCTGAGACCAGGAAACGAACCCAGGCTGCCGAAGCGGTGACAGCGCCGAACTTGAACCCCTAGGCCATCAGGGCTGGCTCAACTCAGCTTTTCTTGACTAATCTTATTTGAGACTTCAGCTGCCCTGACCTCTCCAACAATCCCTTGTCTTGGGTGTCCCAGCCACGACTAGTTCTGTATTTTCTCCTGGAGATGGGTTCCAATTATTTTTCTTACGTTTGTCTTTCCTCTCTCCCTCAGCTTGTGGGTCATAGAGGCAGAGATAGTGCTTCTCCCTCTTTCCCGTGACATGAGTGGGGACTTCATAAATACTATTGACTGACCAACGAGAAGTAAGTAGACATTCAAAACACCTGACCTTCGGGGTCAGGTAAGTTGTTGGAGGTCACCATTTATTAGAATTCAGTTAATATTTAAAGATAAACAAGAGTCACTTAGTTTAGTGCCACAATCTGTGTATTTATTGCATTTCTGTGTGGATCATAACAAGAAAAACACAACCTAGTACAAATCGATGACCTGTTTCAGAGAGCCGACTCTGGCATCCACGGGCCCCAGTCGAGGTACCACCTGTCGTCCTGTGGCCTCGGCAGGTGCTGCCACCCTGGTAGTTGGGGGTCTTGCAGAGGACCCAGCAGCGTCCAGCACGTGGAGGGAGTGGAGCTCGCTGAGCCGGAAGCCATCATGGATGCTGGAGCAGTCTTCCGTGAGCTCAGACACAAGACCTCTTTAGTCATCTCTCCTGTACAGCCTTGTCCTGTGGGAGCTGGTCTGTTGTGACAATAAACAAAAGAAGAAAAATAAATTGTGTGCATCCTTGATGTTGATAACAGTGACTCAACCAGCCTGCATGTTCATGAAGCGTGGTTTTCAAACCATCCTGTCATACATGTATCCTCTCCTTACATTCTTGGTCTAACAAATTAGGAAGAGGATTAACATAAAACTGACCTGATCAGTGGACTATCTTGTGGAAGAAACAAACATTGAGATAAAGGGAATAAATGGGTTCCTTTGTAGAAAACCATCTGTCACAACTGTATTTAGTGAGTCTGCAGAGAGGATGGTAACTCCTTTTCCATTATGACTGCATATAATTGAGTCCCATCAAGCTTGTTTTTAAGTCACTTTTGCTTTCGTAACTTACAACAATTCGTATTTACTCTGAGTCCACATGTCCAACATTTTGCCAAGTCACTTGTACCATTTGAATTTCTTGCCTCAAAGAAATCTCTATTTTATTTGTATCTCTTTTTTCATCTGCAAATTTCTCCAGCCGAATTTTGGTTTCACTTCTCGAATCTGCTTGCCACACCATAGAATTTGGTGTCATCAGAAAGCAGAAACACAAACTCCACATGATTAAAATACATTAGGCAGCACTTTGGTGAGGACCATGTCCATGAAATCCTAATGGATGATCTGTCTCCGCCCGTTGTCAGAAACTGTTGATGATGACGCCTGGGAATGACACGCTGAAACACATTGTTCTAGCTTCTAGATCCGTGTGTCACAGAGGTGTTGAAAACAATTGCCAATACCGCCAGAATACATTACGCCTCGTTGTTCTCTCATAGTCTGTTAGTGTTTCTATCATTAAAAAATAATGTTCTAGATAGATTTTTTATTTACTGAACAGGTGATTTTTATTTAGAAATTAGAGCTCAGCTACATGCTACCAAATTTAATTTTAGAGGCTATGTTGTGAATTCTAATGCCCTAAAAACAATCTTGTTGTGCTTAGGTAAGAAAAAAATAGAGGTTACAGTTATTTGTAATCCTGCTCACACTTTTTTTTTAATGTTTGAGCATCAGGCATTGCTATGCCTTCTGTGGACACTAGTCCTGAGTTGAAACAAACTGACTTCTGTAAACAGGAATTCACGGCCACGTCAACAATGGTCTCACGTCAGCCCAGCTGAAGCCAGACTCACAAGGAATCACGTGGCAGGAACGGATGGAGTCGCCTTGGCCCATCCAGTGCTGGTAGTCGGGGTGGTCGCCGGTGGCACCAGGTACTGGAGGCCCTGGTAGTGGGCGCGCTCATAGAACATCCAGCAGCCGCTGTCCACGCAGACGGAGGTGCAGCGGCTCCGGTGGGGCTGCGGGTTGGGCTGGTCGCTGGTGCACTCATAGCGGCGGCCCTGGAAGGCCCTGTCCTCGAAGAAGGTGATCTGCAGGGAGAACGAGGTGACAGCCAGACGTCAGCTGGGAGGGCCCCCCACACACAGCAGACACTCAGTGGACACAGTGTGGCCCCTCGTCGGCTTACCCTCGCCATGGTTGTTGACAGTGATGACCAGCCTCCAGTGTGTGGGGACAAGAGTGGCAGCTGGTCCTTGTAGCAGGGCGGCTGCTGGATTGGCAACAAAGGGGCCTCGGAGTGGTGCATGAGCGATTTCTATATTCTCTCTTTTTTTCCTTTGGGATCGTGTGGCAAAGGACTCTCCTTTCTGGCATTTTCCGGTTGTCCTCACTACCTCCAGTGAGAGGACCTGAAGTCAGCAGAGCCATTATGACCTTGGAGACTAAGGGCGCACTTCTCATCGTATGCAGCTGTCTGTCTGGAAATGCGTTACAGGCCCCACATTTTGTAACGTCTTCCTGTGGAAACTGCAGAGAGGAGGTTGGTGGTTCCACCTGGAGTGACTTGTGACAATCCTATGAGTTTCAGAAAGACTTGAAGTGCTAAGGGAACCAAAAAATTCTCTAATTGAAAGAAAATTACATCCTAAATTATCTCATCAGTATCATATGGTTTTGATAAAAATATTTTGCATATGTTTATGTAGGAAAAAAAGATTAGAACGTATGTATACACCAAATGTCAGTCATGGTTATCAATGAAGAGCAAGGTTATAGGTCCTAGTTTTATGTTTTTATTTCTCCTTTTATGGTTTTCGATTGTCTCAATTTTCTATTATAAATATATATTACTTTCATGAGATGAAAAAATAAAATGAATTTGTAAATGTATAACTTTGAGTTGCTGGTGAAAAGCAGCAAACTTTGGAAATAGGTATGTTTTGTCTTGAGGTTAAACACTTCTCCTTGGGCTAAAAATAAAGAGGTCTCAAGACTGTACGAGACACCCCAAGAGCAGGCACACACGGGGTCTGCCCAGGCCCCTCCTCCCACCACCCATCTCCCAGGGCTGCTTTTTGCTTTCAGAGCCAGCATCCTGACCCGCCCGGTCTCCCTCCCTGCAGCGTCATTGTCCCAGGGGGCCCAGGGGGCTGCCTGGGGAGCTCTCTCCACTGCTGCTGAGCTATTGGTTTGAGGCCCACAGATACACAGGGTTGAGGATGACTCCGGTCCCAACTCATCTTTTGTCATCCGTGTGTGTGTGTGTGTGTGTGTGTGTGTGCGCGCGTAGAAAGATGAACTCATCCCATCGTGGTCACGACCCATGGAGGGGCTCTAAAATGATATCCCAGCACAGCCAGCAATATGTCCAGAATGCCCTCTGTGAAGGTCCTCGGGCAGTATGGGAAGCAAACGTGCAGATGTCAGAAGGAGAGACAGCAACAGCCACAGAGAAAAAAATGTTCCCTCACAACCAGCAGAGCTTCACAAAAGAAAACCGGGCAAAGTCCTGTGAAGTGGGGCGGTGACCTAGGGACCACCCGTCCCTGATGGACTCTTCCGTCTCCTCCTCATGCAGCAGGTCTGTGTGAACCTTGGTCACAGCCATTGGAGAACCAGTGTGAAAAGGCTGCGCAGAGCTCCGGCCACAACGTCACCTCAGAGCACACCACCATTTCAGCAAAGGTCAACCAACCACACACCCGTTTTTGCACCTGTTAAAGAAAACTGTTCTGCAGGAAGATGGCTCATCAAAACCTTAAGAAAGGTGTAATCCGTACTCACATCCATTTGGTCAAATTGTTTCTGCATGTAGTTACAAGCTAAACCATGTGCCTGATCAGCATTTTGGAAAGGTGCTGAAAGATCAGAACGTTTTTTCCCCTAGTAGTTATTATATTCTACTGAAAGAAAGCCTGCACCCATTTTTCTTTTAATGCTTTATTGAAATGATTTTAAATGTTTCCATATGAGAACATAGGAAAGGCAATCAATGACAGATTAATTTTATTTTGGATTGAAAGTTTGGAAAACTGCCTCCTACCCCACCACTCTGCAACATTCAGTGCTAAACCTTTGTAAACGGTGCTACAGAGCCAGCCTGCTCTGAGATAGAAATACTATATTCTGGGAATTCTCCAACCACAGTGTTCCAGTCACAAAAGAAGTAGCATAAAACACCCACTCCCCCCCACCCCCATAATATGGCCATACAGTATGATTCTAAGAGCAGAAAGCTCCACATCCAGCATAGCACTTCCACACACTTTGCATCAAAAGCTCACTGTAGAGGGACATGTGCCCACGAGAGTTGCAGCTTTAAGGTGATGTTTCTCTTCCTCTCCCAGAGACTTTGTCAAGAACTCCCACGGTGCAACTCCAAGTTTCTAAGTGACCTGCAGAATAAAAAGATGATTTTGGTATCAAGCCCATTAATTTAACGTGGACACAGACACTGGTTTTCAATCTGTAGAGTTAAGATCAAATATCAGATACTAAGTTACTGACAAAGATGGATTAAAATACATGTAGGTACAAAGGAATTTTCCATGGAATTATTCTGAGACATTTGGAAATTGAGTTATATTTCTCAACTACATACAATATATGATCACATACTGGATCCTGTACAAAAGGAAAAAATGTTTAAAAAAGGACATTATGGGATCAATTGACAAAATTGGTATATAGACAGAAATTAGATAAAAGTATCAATGTCAGATTTTCTGAAGTTGATAACTATACTGTGGTTATTTAAGAGAATGACTGTTCTTAGGAAACACACACTGAAGTATATAGGGGTAAAGGGATATGGCAGATATAACTTCAGATGGCTCAGAGAAAATTATTTATCTACATACAGAGAGACAGAGAGTGAGAGAGACAGAGAGACAGAGACGGAGACAGGAAGTGTAACGCTGATGGAGCAAAATGTTACCAGTTGATGAATCTGAGTAAAAGGTATTTGAGCGCTCTTTGTACCATTTGTGCAGGTTTCCTCTAAGCTCGAAATTATTTCTGAATAAAAATTGACTAATAAAAGTAATACTTCTTTTGCTGACCATACCCAAAGCAAATCATTTCTTTGCCCCTTAGCGGTTGTGTATTGTGCTTCTAGCATATTATTTTGAATTTCTTATATATTGCTTTGAATTTAAACTCAGAGGGCCCTCTCCCTCTATTTCTGATAGAGGGTATTGAATCGCCATCAAGGAGAGGGGGGTGTCTCTTTCTCCCAGCAGCTCTAACCCCACTTGCTTGGGCGCTCGGTTGTTGGTGGCACACATGTTGAGGACAGTTGTGTCTTCTTGGAGAATTGACCCCTTAACATCGTGTGATGCTCTTCTTTATTCCTGATCACTTTCCTTGCTTTGAAGTCAGCCCTGTCTGAAATTAATAGAGCTCCTTTTTCTTTCTTCTGATAGTGCGAGCATGATTTATTTTTCTCCATACATTTACTTCTAATCTATATGTGTCTTTATATTTAAAGTGGGTTTCTGGTAGACAACATGTAATCAGGTCTTGTTTTTTGCTCCACTCCGACAATTTGTCTTTTTTTTCTTCTTCATAATTTTATTATGAAAATTTTCATACAGAAAAGTTGAAAGAATTGTACAATAACATACACATGCCCACCACCTGGATTCTGTAGTGAACAGTTTGCTGTATTTGCTTTAACATGCATCAGTGCATCTCTCCCGCCCTGTGCCCGTCCATCACTCCATCTTATTCTTTGATGCATTTGAAAGTAAGCTGCAGACAGCAGCACACTCCACTCCTAAATTCATCAGTCTAGGTGGCCGTAAATGAGTTCAATATATTTAAAGGTCAATTTTACAAGTGAAATGCACAAATCTTAACTTTACCATTCTATGAATTTTGACAAATGCATCCCTAGCAAGATATAGATCAGCGCTGTCCAATAGAACTGTCCACAGTGATGGAACTGGTCCAGGCAGTTCAGATACAGCAGCCACTAGACACCTGTGGCTGTTGAGTTCTGTCTTCTTATTGGCTCATTTGGACCATTGACGTCCAGAGTGATTACCGATGCAGGTGGATTAATATCGACCACATTTGTTCCTGTTTTCTATTCGTTGCCCTTGTTCTTTTTTCCTGTCTTCCACTCTTTTTCTACCTTTTATGGTTTTAACTGAGCATTTTAAATGATTCCATTTTCCCCCCTTTCTTATCATATCAATTATTTCTCTTTTTACCTTTTTTTGATAGTTGCCGTAGAGTTTGCAGTATACATTTACAACTAATCCAAGTCCACCTTCAAGTACCAGCATTCTGCTTCACAGGCAGCGTGAGTACCTTATAATAACCAAATAGTCCCAAGTCCACCCTCCCATCCTTGCATCACTGCTGCCACTCATATATAATAATACATGAGCAAATACATATATACACATAAAATATATACATAAGCATACCTAACCAAATACACCACTGCTATTATTTTGAACAATATCTGATATGTTAGATCAAGTACAAATAAGAAGAATAAAAGTGTTTATTTTACCTTCACTTATTCCCTCTCTGATGCTCTTCATTTCTCTAAGTAGATCTGAGGATCTGACCTTTATTGTTTTCCTTCTCTTTAAAGAACTTCTTTTAACATTTCTTGCAAGGCAGGTCTACTGGCAATGAAGTCCTTCAATTTTTGTTTGCCTGAGAAAGTCTTTATTTCTCTTTCACTTTTGAAGGATAATTTCACAGGGTACAGAATTCTAGGGGTTTTTTTTCCTCTCAACACTTTAAATATTTTGCTGCACTCTCTTCTTGCCTGTGTGGTTTCTAAGGAGGAGTTGGATATAATTCTGATTTTTGTTCCTCTGTGGGTAAGGAGTTTTTTCCTCTGGCTTCTTTCAGGATTTTTTCTTTATCTTTGATTTTCTGTGATTTGACAATGATATGTTGAGGTGTAGTTTGGGGGCATTTTTCCTGCTTGTTGATCTCTGAGCTTCCTGGATCTGTGGTTTGGCCTCTGACATTAATTTGGGTAAATTCTCAGTCATTGTTTCAAATATTTCTTCTGTTCCTTTCTCTCTCTCTCTTCTTTTGGTGTTCCTATTACCCATACGCTACACCTTTTGTAGTTCCCATAGTCCTTAGATATTCTGTTCTGGTTTTTCTTTCAGTCTTTGTTCTCTTTTCTTTTTGGTTTTTGAGGATTCTATTGAGATATGCTTGAGGTCAGAGAGTCTTTCCTCAGCCATGTCCAGTCTACTAATGAGTCCATCAGAGGTATTCTTCATTTCTGTTTCAGTGTTTTTGATCTCTAGCATTTCCTTATGTTCTTCCTTAGGATTTCCATCTCTCTGCTTACGTGTCCCATCTGTTCTCATGTGCTGCCTACTTTATCCATTGGAGCCCTTAGCATATTAATCATAGTTGTTTTAAATTCCTGGTCTGATCATTCCAATATCCCTGCCATGTCTGGTTGTGATGCTTACTCTGTCTCTTCAAATCATGTTTTTTGCCTTTTAGTATGTGTTGTAGTTTTTTCTTGATAGCCAGACATGATGTTCTGAGTAAAAGGAACAGCTGTGACTAGGCCTCAGTGATGCGGAGCTGCGGTGTGGGAGGGGAGTGCTCTGTATCCTGTGATTAGGTCTATCTTGAGTGAGCCTGTGCCTCTGACAGTGAACGTCACAAGAATTTCTTAGTTTTTTCTCTCCCTTTGGTGGGATAGGATGGCTAGACGGGGCTGGAGTTGGGTATTTCTCTTCCTCTAGGTCAGTCAGGTTCTGATAATACCCCAGCAGGTTAGTCTCTGTTAACTAGTTTCCCCTGAGGCAGGCCTTGTTAAGAACGGAAGTTCTGGCTATTTCAAACGGCACGAGGGGATCTTCCTCCAATATTTACTGGGGGAGCCTGGGGGAGCTCCTGGAGGTAAATCTCTCAGTACTGCAGGCCCATGACTGGGTCCCCTGGAGTTTATGACTCTCAGAGTTGTCCCCCCCCCCGCGCGGCCCCAGATACAGGGCGCGGCCCCCCGCGGGGGGGGGGGGGGGGCTCGGCTCCGTGCGCCGTCACTCCCCCTCTTCTCCCGTCTGTCCCTCCAACCTCCGGGGCCGCGGTTTGCCCTGCGTCCTCCCCTGCCTTGTAGATCCAAGGGGACTGCTGATTTTTCTGTCCTTTCGGCGTTTTTACTTGTTAGGACGGAGCGGTGGTCTCTGAGCTCCTCTCGTGTGAAGCGGACACCCGAGTCCCTCGAGTTGCGCCCTCGCTGTGTCCCTTCGCGGCTCCTGGAGTGGGAATACGGGGAGCACTGCGCTGTCGCCGGCCGTGGTCCCGGCCCTTCTCTGCGCCCTTCCGCACCCACGCTCGGTCAGTCCCAGGGACGCCCTCAGGGGGCGGGTGCTGCTGGAACCCTCTCTACAGATGAGAAACTGAAGCCCGCTGGGACTCACTTGACAACCCGCCCGAGGTGTGGAACGGGGGATCCAGGATTCCAGCAGGCCATCCCGCTGCAGAGCCGGTCCCAATCACGTCGTCTCTGCTCTGAGCCCTTGGTGCGGCCCTGTCCATGCCCAGCCTGACTCCTAGTAACGTTCTCCGAACCAACACTTCCCTAGGGTACCACGTAGCTCCTACCCATTTTGACTAAACTAGGAGCTGCTAATACCGGCACAGTATAAAAGAAATCTGCAAAACTGTTTCCCAGAATACCTGGATTTTTTAAAAATAATTTCTCCTTTTTCTTACTTTATGAAGAAATTCAGTGGCTGGAAATAAATAGAAAATTCTCAATAAGGCATTGTTTTATCTCGAGGTTAAAAAAATCGTTCGTCAGCTAAAATATATAATATTTTAATATTATAATTAAGATATAATATCCAGAAGCCATAAAGGAAAAGAATAAGAAGCTCAAATATATAAAATGAAAAACTTTTTCAAACAATAAACTGTGAAAGCATGATTTTCACACATTTAATAAAATATTTATTTCTTTGTTATTTCTAACAAATCAATCAGGCATATATGTCTGTACAGTTGTATCTACATGTGCAGCAAATATTTGAACATCACAAGAAATAGTGACAGTGGTTATCTCTGAGCAGTAGGACAGGGTTTGGGGAAGAGGGAGTCTTTTACTTTTCACTTCATATTTTTCGTATTGTTTAAAATTTTTAATACAAGCATGTATTACTATGATAATTTTTAAACAAATTTAAAAAGTACATTACCCAGGAGTTGGAAAAGATGCCTAAAGTACACAAATAAGAAAGCATGAAGAAACCCCCAAATGTGTTTTCTGCTATTTGGTGATCAAGAAGGGGCCCTTATGGAACGAGTTCATCTCAAGATCTGGCCCTACTGCAAAACAGGCCTCTGTTCTTCTGACGCTCCTGGGCTGACAAGCATCGATTAGCCTATAGAAATAGCTGGTCCCTTGAAATGAGCCTCTGGATCAGTGTAGACGGGGCACAGCGGTTGAGGGGACTCGCCCGAGGAGCATTCACTCACCGCTGATTCTCCAGTGGACAGGAAGTACTGAACATCTACCGCCTGCAAAGCACTTTCTACACATGTAGGGAACAACAAGGAAAGAGAAGGTCTGCTTCCATCCAGAAGCCACAGTCTTCAAGGTTGTGAAAGAAACACATAGGGAATCAAAGTATATTTTTAAAATAACATACCAGTGGGTAATCTTGAGAGCTAGATTTCCAGTACCTCGGATGCATGGATGAGCCTCCAGGGTCTATGAAGCTGCCTCAGAGAGCTGTTTATTCATGATGAGGTTTAAAGTCTAGATGATCTGTGTGTGTGTGAATGTGTGTGTGTGTGTGTGTGTTACTTCTGGAGCTATTACTGTTTTTTGATTTTCCGTTGCTTTGTTTTACTTTCTAAAGCTTGTTACTCCCAAACTCATATTTTAAAAAATAGGGTGATTTTACTTCAAAAATTTCTTCGGTAACAAAGATATGGTTCTAGAAAAGCTATACCTTCAAATCTCCTTTTGGCAAATGCCTTTAGAAGAAACTCCATGTAGTGAGCATTCCCAGTAGTGTGATTGTTCTATCACCAGAGAAACACTTATTAAAACCGGAGGCGACCAAAGAAGCCAGGTGGTTCCTAGAGCATTTGCTGCGTAAGGTCACCTTTCTAATCAGCCAACAGTTTGCCTCAGAAACCTGAATAATCCTAAGCCCCGTGTGGCCCAGTCTACTCAGAGATTCACATTTTAAAAATGCACAGTACAGCAACCAAACTAAATTAAAAGGGAATTTCAATTTCACTTGTGTTTCTCGAAGCAAACCCAATGCATAACCCAGTGCATCAATTTTCAAAATTCCCTTTTTCCTTCCTATCTTACAACCCTCCATCTGACCCAGAGTCTCTCATTCAACAAAACCTACAACATCCAGACAACCCGCCTGTACCACTTTCTGATTCTCTCCCCTCTCGGACCAACTCGGTCTCCCTGACTTTTTTTTAAATGTCCTTTTCACTTTGCACATTACAACTAGGAGCCCAGAGCTGGAACAGCAGAGAGCCCTCCTCCCATTCTCCTTTCTTTCCTGCCTCTCTCTGACCATTCTCTGAATTCTGCAGCAGGAATCATATGGACAGGACAGAAGAAGCAGAGACGCAAAGCATCTCTCATTAGTGAGAATGGGACCAAGAACAGAAACATCTGACACGGAGAGCAATATAAACCTTCTCCTAGACACACTTCCTTGAATCAATAGCTGATTAACTGGTGAAGAGTATTTCTGAAATGCTACAAAGATAACAATGGTTAATATTTATTTAGGGTTTACTCTGTGCCAAACACTGTTCTAAACTCTTGGTATGCATAACCTTTGTTAATCATCTCAACAACCTTAAGAGGTAGGTACCATTACTCTTCCCATTTTGCAGAGAAGGAAACTAAGGCACAGAGAGGTTAGGTAGCTTGCCTGAAGTAACACAGCTGGTAAGTAGTGGGCTTTAGAGTCAAACCCAGAGCATCTAACTCCAAAGGCCAGACTTTTAACCACACAATAAATGAAGAACTCCCCAAGTATCTGGTATCAGTTTGGTGTAATTCATGTTTTTAGACCTACTTTGTTCTTTGGCCGTGTGTCCAAAGATAAGTTCTTTGATGATTTCCGATCCGTGGCATTTGCTTCCCTTGCAGAGCTGCTGGAGGCGTTTTGACTCTTTGCTCCCCTTCTTAACTTGACACCTGGAGACACGGAGTAACCGTTATCTGTATGAAAAGCTTTTTTCAATGAGTCTACCCACAGTTTGGGGTCCTTCCCCTCCAGAGAGCTTTGCTCCTATCACCAAAGGGTCTGAGAAGTAAGATTTCCCTGATTTCCATAATGGAGGGAAATCAAGTGAGAAACGCTCCTGATTCTTCTAAATTCAGCCAGACAGAGACCCTCTGGCCACAGCTTGACCCCACCGTGTGGCTCCCTCCTGGTTCTCCCGGAATTGCTCTCAGCGGGTGGAGGCGAGCGCTTACTCTGTCTGCGGGCGTGTTCCGCGGCCTTGGGCGCTGTTAACACGGCGAAAGGGTGCAGGGAGCGGCGGAAGGGAGCCCCCGGGGCCTGCAAGGGAAGCAGGGCGGCCTGTGAGCGCCGCGGGGCTGCCGGCGCCCGCAGCGACCCGCTGTCCCAGCGCCTGGCCCGCGCGCGGGCCCGGAGTCGCGGCCGCCGCCTCAGCCGGGTCCACGCGGCCCGCGTCCACGCGCCCGGGCGCCTGTCCACACACGGTGCGCTTCACATGCTTCCCTCTGCCTGGAACGCCGTCCTCCCTCCTGCCTGCAGGCTCCTGCTTCTCCTTCGAGGCGGAGCTCAAACATCACCTTTTCTGAGACACTTGCCCCGACGTCTCCCCGCCTCCGCTCTCCGCTGCTGGCACCCCCAACCCCCCAAGCAGAATTATTGACTCGCTCATCTGCAGCTCAGAGCATGCTGCCACGCGGGACAGCCCCAGCCTGTCACAGCCAGCTGTCACCCGCTGTCTGCTGCACCAGAGGCCAGGACTGCCCCTCCTCTCGTTCACTCCGCGAGTTTTCAGCCAGCACCTCCCACGGTCAGGCCCTGTTCCAGGAGCGGTTCTTAGTAAGACAGAAAAGGTTCCTGCCTTTCTGGGGCTGAGTGAGGAGAAACAAACAGTAGACTAACTATTAGACCACCAGCGTAACCGTTCATTGTGACGAGTTTAATAAATAAACCAAACAAGGTGCCGTGCTGGGGAGTCACTGGGCAGCCACCTTGTAGGGCGGAATGGGCAGAGGAAGCCTCTAGAAGGAAGCAATGCTTCAGCAGAGACTTTCGGGGTGAGCAGCAGCCGGCCATGGGAAGAGCTGGGAGGAGTGTTCCTGGCAGAGGGAACCAGAGGGTCTTCCTGGAAAAGGCTTGTGCTTCCAGACCAGAAAGGGGGCGGATGGGGCTGGAGCAGCGTCAGGAGGGGGCGGCTGTAGACGAGGCTGAGGAGGCAGAGGGGCCCAGAGGTCTGTGTCCTTGGTGGCCCCAGTGCAGAGCTGCACCACAACTGCCTGACACTGACTCCAGGCCGCAGTGGAGCCTTTGACGTATTTTTAAGCAGTAGTGCCACAAGGTCTGATTTAGGTTTAAACAAAGGTCAGCCTGGCCGCCTGTGGAGAGAGGACTGGAGAGTGGCACAGGGGTCCAGGGAGCCAAGTCAACCTTTATCTCCAGTGCCTCAGAGAGGGCCCGGCACACAGGAGGCCCTCATGCCTTATTGACCAGCTGAGTAACCGCCGTTCTAGTCAAGGCAGTAGAGGTTAACAGCACAACGCGTCAGCCTGGCTGTACCTGAACTCAAGCTGCACCATGCCAGCAACAAGTCGTGACCTCGGGTGTGTCACCTGACCTCCTGGGCCTCTTTCCTCAAGGGGTTATCACAGGGGTGACCACCTCCAGAGTGTGGTGGGGTCACAGAGTCAACACTTGTAAAGCACTCAAAACAGTGCCTGGCCCAGAGTACATTAGCTTTAAAAATAATAATAATAGTAATTGTTACTTATCTCTGCCACCATCCTCATCATTTCTCTCCCCAATTCAATTCTTTCTGCTGCACAGTCACCCACGGTGGCTCCTGGGCCACCATTTCCTCTATCAGAGCGGGAGGTCTGAAATAATTAACGTTCCTCTGCAAGATCAACACTTTCCTGCTCTCTTACTGACAGAGTTTCAGCCCTTATGTTTACAGAACTCTTATTTCTAAGGAGCAAGAAACGATTATACCATTCTCTTCACGTGTGTCTTTCAGCAAATCCATCTTTTCATCAACAGGACACCTTGCAGGATGTATAACTGAGGCGACCCGGCAACGAGGACGACAAGACAGGTACCGTTGTTAGATCTCCGGTCAGTAGAATGTTCTCTGTCTCTATCTTTATCACCCAAAACTGTTACTGATCAAGTTCCCACATAATTGGTATCTTTTCAAAGTAGGTAGAAATCTGTATTTCCACAAGAATTTGAGCTCTAGGATAATGGTGTGTTTACATATAGGTTTTTTTGGTCTGCCGTTTTTTTGTTAAGACAAGGACTGTATTTGTATATTATTTTGCCGTTTGAACAGGAATGACTGAGCAGGGACCTGGACGATGCCTGTGTTCCTGACGACTTTGGAACCGTGGTGCCAGCCCTGATCTGCCCACTCCAGACTCCCTTCATGTGAGAAGTCAACTTTTGTTTCTCATGATTGCTGTGGGTTTTCTGTTGTATCACACAGAAAACATGGATCAAATAATAAATGAGGTGTGTTCTCTTTATTGACAGAACAGTTTACGGCCACCACTGCACGGGCACTTCTAAATTTAACCTCAGCCTTTTATTCAAATGGCAAAATATTTATTGAGAGTTTACTTCATATCCAGTGTTGTAAAGAATTAAGTGTAAGTGGAAGTGATGGTAGGAGGCTTTGTGTCAGGGTGGGGCAGTTATGGCCATGACAGCAGCCCTCCAGGATGATGGACGTGAGGTATAAGGAAAGGAGAACCAGTCATACGTCTTCTGCCTTAGAAAATGAAAGACTGATGCTTTTCCTACTGGTTTCCCCATCCACTGGGAAAGACAGAACTTGATGATTTGCAAGTCACTTCCAGCTCAAATATGCAAGAGTCCTGATAATCTGATGACTCATGCAAGCAGTTAATGTAGCTTCCTGTGTGGTTCATATGAAAAATTTATTTAAAAAGTTGAATGAAATTTAAATCCTAAACCTAGAGTTAATCGTATGTTCTTTTTTTACTCTAAGGCTACTTACTAATATCCTTATTATATCAATGTAAAAGTATTGCTGTGATTGTTATTTCTCAATTCAAGTATTTATCGAGTGCCAAATTACGTCCAAAGTACATTCAACAAAACTTTCTTCTAACTGGAATGGTGAGGAGGAGGAGACGCGGATGTGGAAAGGCATGTAGGAATGTGCACAAGAGTCCATCGTTAAGCGATGAAGAGCGAAGACAGTAATCTTTACCTGCCCTTCAACCCGGATCAATAACTTATTAAAACATCATTTTGATATCCCTGAGATGGAGGGTGGAGAATTTCTGATCAAAGATCAATGTCAAAGCAATTGAACATATGCTCTTGACAACCATATTTTCCACAGTAAAAGCCAAGCATGTGGTCTGGAAAGTTTGTATCTGTCCAAAGAGTTTTCCAAATGTGGTTGGAATGTTGCAAAATCATATTTTCTAAACATTTTAAAATTTATGAAGAACAAGGGCAAATTTCAAATGGAAAGTGTACTGGAAAATCTAGGACTTGACTGATTACATCCTACCTCAGCTTTTCTAAAAATCGAGGCTCTGTATAAATAAAAAATAAAAAGACAAATGACCCAACAGAAAAATGGACAAAAGACTTTAGCAGTCACTTTACAGAAGAAGAAGAAGAGCCCTGTGAAGGGCTACCCATTGGTGATCAGGGATGTGAATGAAGACCACCGTGCACACTGAAAAGACTGACAAATAAAAAGCCTGGAAACATCAAGCATTGGTAGCAGCCAGGTAACCCACAGTGCAGGGAGAGGAGTAAACCGGTGCAATCACTTGGGAAAATGATTTTGTAGTGAGTTGAAGATGCACATAACCTACGACGCAGCAATTTCACTCCTGGGCATGTGCCACATGAAACTCTCTCACTGTGCCCCAAGAGACACACAAAGGAATAAGCAAATGTGTAAAACAGAGGAATGCATAAACAAATTGGGTATACTCCTACAGTGGAAATAAACCCTAGCTACAAGCAACAGTGTGGATGAATTTCTGCAACGAGATGCTGAGTGGAAACAGAAAGCCATGGAATAACACATCTGCTTCATTTCATTCCTGTTGCTTCATTTATATATATTGTTTTATTTCATTTATATAAAATTCAAAGAACATGCAAAACGAAACAATATATTGATTAGAGATGCATATGTGGTAAAACTATAAAGAAGTAAAAGAGAATGACAGACAATTCAAGACGGTGGAAACCAGGTGAAAGGACCCTCAGGGCTGTCCCACTTGACACACCTGGGGACTTGCGGTTGGCTTGGTCTTTATACTTTAAACATATACTGCAAGTATTCGTTTGGACATAATTGAGATTTAAAGCATGTTTTTTACTGTCTCGTCATGAAGATCTGTCAGTACTGAATTTTGTTTAAACACAGGTCCCTCCCTTCGTCATGAAAACACGTCTTCATTTCTGTGCAATTTGAGCAAGTCACACCCTCTAAGAAGAGAAGAGAAGACGGGCAGCAGATGATGGAGTAAGAGTGGAGGCTGGGACTGCAGAGGTGAGGGTAGAGACGGGCTACTGCCCAGAGACCAGGCTGCTATCAATGGGCTCCTGCGGAGAGGAGGAAGGAGGCCGGCCTTCCTGAGGGAGATGAGTTTGGAAATAATAAGGCTCGAGTTGAAGCTCCCCGTGTGCCAGCAACATGGTCTCACCTGGTATGCATAGTCTCACTGAATGCTCGGAACACCTGGTGTGGTTGGATAAGTGTGATCATGCCTGTTTACGTAAGGGAAATTGGGAATCAGAGAGGTTAACTAACTTATCCAAGGCCACACAGCTGGCAAGTGACAGCGCTGGGACTGGACACCCGTCTGTTTGCCTCTGTAAAGCACGCATTGGACCGTAGGTGTGAGCTTGGAGAGAGTCAGCAGACGGCAGATGGGACACCAGGGTGTAGCGGAAAGAGAAGGGAAGTGGGGATTCTGACGTTCTCTACCACCTCCCTGGCCTTTCTCCTCCCTCTGTTGCGCTAACTTTTACTCTCTCTGCCTCCCTTTACTTCTTCCCTCTTTCTCCATCAAATGGAGCTGAAGAATATTTTTGTTCCTTGCTTTATTTATTGAAGGAAGATTTATGCTCCTTTCTCTTCAGTTCAAAGTTGAGTAGGACGTTTACTATTTATCTGAAGCAAACTGTAGGTGACCCTTGCTTGTTTGAGGTCTTTAGTTGAATTTTTTCTGTGAGTCCAAGGTCCTCAGCAGAAAAACAGCTCCTATCAGAAAACCCAGCTCCCTATCAGGAGTACAGCCTGAGCCTGACGAATTCTGGGCCCATGGTGCTTTCTGTCACCAGGTGGCAGCATATACTCCTGAAGAAAGCCACCGAGCTTCAGTCCAGCGGCCAGAAATTCTACATAATCTGATTAGAATTCAACAAGGCTTTGGGCTTTTGCCTGGGAAGGATTTTAGCTGTTGCTTAGGAAACATTTTATCTGCAGGAATCAAAGGTCGTTCAGATACATGCAGCAATTAAAGAAGGACCTTTGGCATTAACTGTTTTTTTGAACCATCTCATCTCCCAGTTAAAACTATTTTTAAATTATGTTAAATCCCAAAAGACTGTTTTAAAGTAGCTCTTACAGTTTAATTTTTGAAATGCTACATTTCCACTGAGGGGCCCTGCTCATTCCTTATTTAGGACGTGGAGAAGGTCACTGCGTGGAGCTGATGTGTGGCCACAAGAGAAAGGCCTGAGCTGGCATTCCTCACAGGGGGGAACCTGTGAGGCCCACAGGAACAGAGGAGGCTCAGATTCTTGTATTTTTAGCTCAAATCATGTCACAGCCTTTGTGATCATTGTTTGTCTAAAAAAGCAACATTTACACTGTGTTAATAATGCACATGGATGCTTAACGAGCAATTTAATTTTCGAATATTTAGAGCAGTGGTTCTCAACCAGATGTGATTTGCCTCTGAAGGGACATTTGGCAAAGTTGAGAGACGTTTTGGTTGTCACAGTTAGGGAGAAGCTACTGGCATCTAATGGGCGGAGGCCAGGGTGCTGCTAAGCATCCCATAATGCACAGGACAGCCCCGCCCCACCCCTACACACAACAAAGAATTATCTTGTCCGAAATGCTGAGAAGTCCTGATTTACAGGACCTAGAGGAAATCAGATACCCAACCCCAGACACCCAAGGACCAGAACCTTAATTACAGTAACTACAGCGTTGTTTTGAGGTCACCGTGTGCCAAGCACTGAGGGCTCCACTCGGACTAACTCACTCCATTTCCCATGACAATTCACCTTCTTGTCCCTGCTTTCACAAAAGACATCCAGGGTGACAGAGCATAGACGACTTGTCCAGGACTATTCTGCTTGTAGCTGGTGGAGCTGGGAGGCAAACCCAGGCAGCCTGGCTTTAGAATCCTCGTGCTTAACCCTTCCACAAACTGTCTTTCACGTACCAACCAACAATGAGCTGACACTCGTGTCCTGTGTCAATAAACAGACACAGCCTGTGAAGGAAAGCCCCCTCCATAAGGATGTGGTCTACTTCCCCCAGAGCGGGCCACTGTGGAGTCTGTGTACATCTGGGCTTTTTATTACTGCTCACTGCTTGTGAGGACAGGACCATGTGAACTGAACAGAGAAGGTGTGGATAAAGGCTCTTGATTGAAGAAGTAAATGACCAGATGATAGGATAGATAGGCTGGCCCACCTCTAAGCTGCATGGCTTCCCATTCTGACCGCTGGAGTGAACCTGGCTCAGCCGAGCTGGGCAGACGCCTTCCTGGCTGATGACCCAGCCAAACCTGGAGGGATTCACAGCGCCACCCATCCAGGATGTGACACTCCAGATTTTCCCTCTGCCCTCGTGAGTGGAGAGCAGCTGAGCCCTAGACTCTCCCAGGCCCCAGGAGATGAGGAGGACACAGTGACCAAGGAGAGGGGCTTGGGTTCAGGTATTTGTCTTGAGGGGTTGGTTTGGGGAAATGGGGGAAGAGGGCAGCCTGCAGAAAAAACAAGCAGGAATGAAGCAATACAGTTTGCTTGGCTCTCCAAGAAACCCAAAGAGCTGGCTGTTCTTTAAAAGCCAAGACAGCTTGTTCTCTGAACAGTATCAGGCCTGGGGTGGCTTCTGTCTCAGCCAAGGTAGAAATTCAGCCCCGAAATAAGACAAGACCCATGAGAAAGGCCATCTTATCTGACTTGCTCACCATCATATCCCCTGGCCCCCACTCTACTGAATGAATGAACAAATGAATGAATGATGGAGCTGAAACCAGAGTGACAGAGGGAACCTGAGTCTCAGGACCACAGTCAGGTTACAGGTGGGTTCAGATGAAAGGACAGTGGTTTCAAAGTTACAACACGGGTAAATACTTGACTCCTGGGCTGGGCCTCTGGGCTCTTGCCTCTGTGTGACCCACTGTTTGCGTCTGCAGGTGGAGGAACTGCGGAGGCAGGTGTCCCTGTGGCGTCGCCCCCCTGCCCCTCCCTCCCTTCCAGATCCAGGCGGGTCACTGAGACCCACAGTGAGCGGAAGGCCTGGAGTGAGGGGTGGGTTCTCCCCGCTTCCCCCGCGACCGCCCTGCTGCACGCCCCTGCCCGCCCCCTTCCCTCCCCGTCCCTCTTCCAGGGGTGGCTCCAGGCAAAGGGACCACCTCTGAGTAATGTCTACTAAACGCTCCTATATTCATAAAGCACAAAACTGAACTGGCTGTAAAGACCATCCAGAATACTCTGGTTTTTTTTAGATCAGTCTACGGAAGCCCAAAGAAGGAGAGGGACCCAGTGCTCCAGGGTTGTGGGTCAGAACTCAGACCCAGATCGTTGCTGCTCCTGCTGTGGAGACTTCCAAGTGGTCTGGGGGGGAGGAGAGACGTGCACAGGTAACCAGACAATCATCGTGAGGACGAACCTCGCAGCTCTCGTGCTCGTTTCTGGAAGTGACAGTCATCATACAAGGAGATCCACGTCACAACAAGAGTGAGTGAGAAACCGGACTCAGAGACGGGCGGAAGCTGGACTCCAGGCCTGGTGCTCTCCTCCTGCCTCTGCCCGGCCTTTCACAAAACTTGTCTGTTATTGCTGATACCGTCCTGGACGTAAGGAAAGCACTTTACAAACATTGTCACCCAAGGGAGACACGGCTACGTCTGCTTTTGTACATTTGATATAAAACTGTTATTTCATGCCTGAAAATACATTGTAAATTCATGAAATAAAGAACTTCTCTCTAAAATTCCCTTACATTGATAGTCTCAGGTCACCCTTACCTTGGTAGCACCAGAATTGGCAGAAGAATCAGCCCCATAAATTTTAAAGACTTCCTCAATTGGGATACTGTTCTGTTAAACAGCAAAAAATGTATTGTCAGATCGTGGCTTCTCTTTTACTACACAACAAAACTATTATAGCTCCAGTACGTCTAGCATTGTGCCTGGATAGCATGGGCACTAAGTAAATAAATTCTGAATAAGTGGGTAAATCAGAGTATCCAGATACTAATTATTTATGTGTTTCATTCTGGGGTTTTTTGCCCCTTAAATACAATATAGAAGTCAAGTCTTTTTATTATATCTTAAAAAAATGAAACATTTAATGTTAGTAAATCCTGAACATTTAGAAAAATTTGGTTGAAAAATAAAATAAATATGCATTAATATCAAAATGCACATAGTAGATATAGAATCTCCATATATGCAAATGGTGTTCTTTTCTTACCATTAAGAGTCCAGCGTAAGATGATAAAATCATTGCTTCTCGTTCTCTGTGGTTTGGATATATGGGTCTGCCACGAAATGGCATTTTCCTAAGGGAGAGTATGAATAAATAAGAATGGACGGTTTATTCTTATTCTTTAGACACCTGCTAAGGTTGTGATAATATCTCCAGTGGCCGTGTGCCACACACTTATTTACAAAATTGATGTGATTAATCTGCCATCAGCACAGTTTACACTTTGAATTCAAACCTTCCAGCAGGGGTGATGAATTTGCCCTTGTCTATCCATGTTTTTTCAGCGATCAAACACTGGCAGACAGGCCACCATGGTGGACAGTCATGGTTCTCTCACAGTGTCCTTTTCCTTCTGTGGCAGTTTGCGTGGGGGGAACTGCCTTTCCCTTCGGGAGCCTGTGTGCTTCCAGGGATGCCAACAGCACCCCTAGATTCCAAGGGTGGAAAACACTGTGGACCAAGCCTGTCAGCGCACCTCATCCCCTCTCCACCGCAGCCGAGTCAGGGCCAGCAGGACCACCGAGACACATTTCTCCCCTGGACTGAGTGTTGTGATCGGGTGGGCTGACACTAAGAATAACTTCCACCCAGAGGAAATAGTCAAGAGGAAAGTCCTGATGACGTGGTTTGGGTTTTGGATTAAGCCATTCCTAACGCAGACCTACCCACGGACTTTTCGGATACAGAGGCAATAAACCCCTCCTCCTCATCCCCCTTTTTTTTTTTTTTGCTTGAGTCTGTTCAGACTGGATTTGCTGCTCATTACAATTAAACGCTAACTGATACAGCCATCTGGGACCAGATGTGTGTGCTAAGGCTGTGGAACAGGAGGAATAATTGGCCTCTAGAAGAAGCCCTTCAGTCCTGGCCCCACTGGTTCCATGTTCTTACAACTGAGCGAGTCTGCCTGGCATACAGGGGAGAGGTGCCAGCAATCCTGGACGTTATTCTGTGAGTCAAACAGCTCAACTCAGGCACAGATCTGGTTAAATGCCTAAGAAATTGTGATTGATAGTCCTTAAGGAACTTAAGTCCTTAAGGAACGACTGCAGCCTTTACTCACAGAACCTCAGCATGTGCACGATAGAGCATAGTCACGTCTCTAAGGCAGAACATTCTATGCAAGAAAGAGCTTCATCCGACAGAAACCAGTTAGCAGAGATGCAAACTATGAAACATGTATATGACATCCTGAGCTGACAACGGGGGTGTGTCTTCAGGTTTCTATCTGGAGAGGAACACTCACTCCCAGTGCTGTCGAGTCAGAGTGCCTCACGGTGAAAGACACCGGGCAACTTTCTCTGCATCTCTCATAGTCACACGTTAAAAAAAAACCCAAACAATGATTTCAGCTTACCCTTCCTTCCACTCCAGCCAAGCTAGGTCTTCTGAGTGATTCAGCCATTGAGACGCAGCGCTGACGGCCAGGTCGTAGTGCGCCTGGAACGGGAAGCACAGAGTGACACTGCAGAGTCAGCCTGGATCAGCAGCTGTGTCCAGTGACCTGATGCTCAGACGGGAATACTTAGGGATCTTCAGGGGTTACATTTACCTCCCACTAGACCAGATTCTTTGATTTGCGTGGACAGGAAAAGAAAGGATGGATTCCGGGAAAGGATACTAAACTGGGATCGGGGAATCTGGTTCAAATCTAGGTTTAGCCAACAACTCGTGGTGTGTCCTTGAGCAAGCAACTGATGTTGTCCGGGCCTCAGATTCCTTAAATTTTAAAATAGAAAAAGATGAAGGTGGAGGAAGAGGGACACAGAGGACAATTTCTAATTCTGTGAGCAGAGGGTCAAAAACACACCCCAGGGACACGGGGCAATGGTGTGTCTACCTGGGGGGGCCGGGGGATCCCAGAGGCTGCAGAAAAGAGGCCTCCATGGAGCTGGAGCTTGAAGGAGGAGGAGAACGTCTACAGGTGGAGAGGGACCTCCAGGAGGAGGGCCAGCATGAGCAAGGGACGGGAGGTGGACCCGATTCAGCGACTTGCTGAGAGTCTCATAGAACAGCGAAAGCTGACGACCAATTCTGTGAGCAGAATGTCCATGCCTCCCCTCTGATTCCCTTCTCCTGGTCATTTGTAAGCATGTTCACCATTTATCTATCAAACATTCCTTCTCTCCTCCCCATCCCCCCAGAAAAGGGAAGGTCAGTTTTGTTTTTGTGTTTTCAGATGGGTTCTAAGGTTCTATTTGACTCTAGCATTCTCTAAGCAATGTAATTATTTCTTCCAGGGACAGAATCAAACAGAAAAGTGAACCAGAACAAAAAAAAGGAAGAAAGAAAATGGATTGTGATCAATTGTGAGACTGAATTCAAAGTCAAATGCCTGGCCCGGCAGCACTGGCCTCACCAGATTGCTATTTGAAATGCCAGTTCCCCGCCCCACCTCAGACTCCCGAATCAAAACGGCCTTGTAATAAGACCTCATTAAAGTTGGAGAAGCACTTATCTAATAGATGTAATTCTCCATTTGATATGTGCACAGAGAAGCACTTTAGAACAGCAAGGCTTATCTGCGTCTTCAGCTCTGGGGAAGTCAGACCAGAGGGGGAGAGGGAGGGGGAGGGGGAGGGGAACCCTCTCTTCCTTATTAAATGTGCAAGAATAGTAAATGGGTGATCGCAAAAAAGCCGAGGTTTACTCATTTCTTTTGAATTAGATCTTTATACAGCTTCCTCCTTAATTTACGTGAAGTGAACTTTCATTACATAACGAATCTGAGTTTTGACATGAATAATAACAGAGAATTTTAGGATTATTCAACTCTTTGGTTTTCTCCAGTAATACAAATAGTAAAAATATATATATATATTTGAGAACTACATGATAGCTAATCTTGTCAAAAACATTTTTTAATTTTTATTTATTTATTTATTTTTTGTGAGGAGATCAGCCCTGTGCTAACATCTGCCAATCCTCCTCTTTTTTTACTGAGGAAGACTGGCCCTGAGCTAACATCCGTGCCCATCTTTCTCTACTTTATATGGGAGGCCGCCACAGCATGGCTTGCCAAGCAGTGTATCGGTGCGCACCTGGGATCTGACGCAGCGAACCCCGGGCTGCCACTGTGGAGTGCACGCACTTACCCGCTTGCGCCACTGGGCTGGCCCCTCAAAAACATTTTAACATCCTGCACATAACATTTAACCTGGCACGCATCTTGGGTTTTAATCTTTTCCAATGGCAAATAGGAAAAGTCTCATGACTTTTATTTTCTCATTCTTTGCCCTCAGTTTAATGAGTTGAAAAGACCACACAGACAGTTGTAGGATGAGAAGATGAGTAAGAGGCCGTCTGGGGAGTGAAGATTGGCTTTGTTTATGAGACATGTTGGATCCCCGTTCTGCCCCCTAGACAGACACAGAACACACGAGACTCACAGGCCGTTCTTTACCATGTCATCAAGAAAGGTGGGCTGCCTTCTTCCTCTTGGGTCAAATTCATTTTCCCGAAGTCTGAGGCCAATATAGTCTCCCCTTGAAAGCAAGAGAGCAGGACTGAACCGTTGGGAATGACGCGGGAGCTCAGTCCGCAGAATAGGGTCCTTCCCAGCCCCTTCCCCCTGACCAAAACTCAAGACAGGTTGTCGATGCTCTGGTAGCTGAGTTAATATTTCATTTTGATTTAAATGGCAATTCTGCAATGCCTCAGGTGTAAAATGTCTAACCGTAATTAACAAATCTCATTTATCTGAAAATTAAACTCACATAGAACAGAATTTATAGGAAAGCAGGGAGAATGATAAATCCCCACACACAGAAGAGGTTTTACAAAACCAGAAGGATTGAAACCCACTCTCTACAGCAAGGACCCCCTCCTGCCTGGGTTAGGCACAGGCAGAGTGTGCGAAGCGGATAAATTCCATTAATGTGAGATCCACACACATGGATTCTTTTGCCTGAGGCTTCTTCCCATTAGAATGCAGATACCCTTAGGAGGAGCTATGCATGAAAACATATTGTAATTCCACTCTAGTGTGTCCTCAGCAGATCCCCTCCTGACAATAATGAGGGAGGGCAGGATATGGGCCTGGGAGGAGACTAGACCGGTCGCTGTTCTGGGAGAGTCAGGAAGAGGGGCGGGGAGAAGACTCTGCGGTATCCCGGGTCAGTCTCCAAATCTGTTTACGTCGGGCCAGTTCTGGCTGTCAACGTCTTTACCACACACTTCGGGCAAGTTGCTCTGTGGGGGTAAGTTTCTTTCTGGCTCCTAAATGCTCTTCTTCTGAATTATTAAGCTTAAAGTGATAAAAAATATTCTCGAATTTTTGCTTTGTAACTCCAAGGTACTTTATTTAAAGTAGCCTGCATGTGTTCTTTGGATACAAAAGTATTTTTGTATCAGTTTTGAAATTCCAGCTCTATGTGGAGGAATTGGCATTCCTGATTACAATTTGTTCTTTATTGCTTAGGCCTCCAAACACATATGTGTAAACGTGTGAATTCATATATAGTTTATTCCAGCGTTTCTTTAGGACTTGTTAGAAGATAATTATCTTGTAGGCACAGGAAAGACTTTTGATGAGGACTGTGGTAAGGTCTTTGATGAAAAGGGTATTATTGTTGAGCCTATAATACACGTGAAATAGAACATAACCTTTTTTTCCCTTTTGATACGGTCTGTGATTGTCACCAACGTCTTAATAAAGTACCAAGGTAAAGAAAAGCTACCACAGGAGAAAAAATTTTTCCATGGAAAACTTAATGTTTTCTTTGTTGGTTTAAAGAAACAGTTCAGATGGCAAGAAAAAAGAGATGAATTATTTAGTTGATAAGACTGACAATAAAAGAGGCAGAGGCTGCAATTTAAATGCTGGGCCCTGGGTATGTTTTTCAGAAATCTCTCCTACGTCTTTCACCAGCAGGGCCCTCTCAGAGGCACCCCCTGCCCACACAGGTTGACACGGGCTGGGGCTCAGATCTTAGGCTCTAGGAGGGTGACGCATGGATGTGCAAGCTGCTGGCAGAAACACCTGCCCGGAGATTCAGCACCCTGCTTTGCATCACACATGAGGCCTCTCCAGCAGGAGACAGGCCAGATCATCTGGCTTTCTCCTACAGTGCAGGAGTACATTTTCCTTAGATTTTTACCCCCCGCCAATATCCAGACCACCTATGATGTGAAACCCACGAGACGTCACATGTAGTAAATGAAAGTCATTCTCAGTCCTACTTACAGGAGCTTTTCCATTTCCTTCTTCAGGAGCCGTCTTTCCATGATCAGAGGTTTATCCAGCTGAGCAGGTATCTGCAGCTTACACTGCACCTGATTTCCTTTGGGGAGACCCAGCCTCTCTGAGCCTAGAAGCTACAGCAGCAAATCAGAGAGAATTTGAGTTTGGGATGCTGTCACTCCAAATACCAGTCATGGAGTCCTGGGCTCTGGAAGGGATCCGAGAGCATGCAGGGCTCAAGCCTCTTGTCCAGCAGGTTCCAGGTCGGAAAGCAGTCTGGAGGCCAGTACACTGTACCTTGAGTTCATCTGGCACCTCTTATTCCCTCCAAGAGTTCCAACATTCATCATTTACTTATCCTTGCAATAAACTAGCAAGTAAGACAGACATGGCTCATGTAATAGTGGGTGAGACTATATGGGCAGAACCATCCAAACACGGATGGTTTGTGATCTGAGCGTGTTTGAGTTCTGTGCGCATTCAACATGGTCACTCCCAGTGAATCCACTCTGGTGCACCTGCTCGTAATGGAGCTTTCTGCAGAACCCATGTACAACTTCCCACGGCTGGGAGATCCTTGCAGGAACAGGTGCTGATGGCAAATGTGAGGCCGCGTCTTCAATTCCCATGCCAACATTGAACCAGAAATTGGAATTTAGGTGATGAGGTCAAAGGGGTCTGAAGTCACAAAAAGGGCTTTACATAAAAATCTTCACTATGAATGAGCTGCCCAGGGAGAGGTATAAATGGGATATCAGTTACATCTGCAATGTTTTATTTCTTAAAAAAGATTTAAAGCAAATTGTGATGGTTAATTTTACGTGTAGACTCATGTGTCAACGTGCCCAGATATTTGGTCCAACATTATTCTGAATGTTTCTGTGAAGGTGTTTTGTGGATGAGATTAACATTTAAATCAATGGATTCTGAGTAGAGCAGATTACCCGCCATTATGTGGGTGGGCCTCACCCAATCAGTTGAAAGCCTTAAAAGAACAAAGACTGACCTCTCCCCAGCAAGAAGGGATTATGCGAGCAGACCGACTTTGGACTCAATTGCAACTCTTCCCTGAATCTCCAGCCTGCTAGCCCACCCCATCAGATTTTGGACTGGCCAAGCCACCACAATCACATGAGCCAATTCCTTGCATTAAATCTCTCTCTATGTATGTATCTACATCCTGTCCGTTGTTTCTCTGGAGAACCCTAACACATACATATGAGAAAGACGTTCAGATTTGTCGACTCTGGGATGATAGGTCCATGGATGTTCATTATATTACCTCCTGTACTTTTGAAATTATGCATATGTTTTTAAAGCATTACTCTAGAAATGGTTGGAAAAAACTATAGAAACTGTTTTTTTAATTGTAGCGTATGAACATTAAGCATCATCTGATTGAGCTCTCCAGCAACAAGCAGAGAGGAAACTGGTTTAAATGAATTCTTCACTGGACGAGTTGAGTTATTCTGGGCCCTTCTTGGTGCTGCTCCTCCTGCTCTAGCCTTGGGTGTGGGAAAGGCACAGGGGAGAAAGCAGGAGCGTCGCACGGGTTAGCTGTACAGACAGCACATTGCTCTCTGCAAGAAAGGCAGAGGAGAGGATACTGCAAGCCAGAGAGATGGCTTTGTGGCCCAGAGAAGGAAAAGCTCCGGGCCCGGGGAGGCCGGATGCCGGGCTGTGGTGTCCACTCCACCCTTACTGTGCGGCTGTGGCCAAGTCTCTCGGCCCTTCTGCGCCCCAGCCTCAGGGTCGTCTAAAGCACGAAGAGCCTGGTTAGCATCACCACAAGCACTTTTTCCCCAACTCTCTACAGCTCCGTAAAGGCAGGTGTGTATTATCATTCTTCTAATTCAGTAAGTTGGAAAGTCATTTGTTGGTAGAACATTTGTCCTTCCTCAATTCCTTGACTGCGGGGCAAGGGGGCTCACTTGTTTTAACCCATTCTTGGTTTGTAATTCTTTAATTTCAGACTTACAGATGATAAAGTTTGCATCTCTCAGTTGCTGTGACGCTTCCTCTTAGACCCACCATCCCTCCCCCTGCCGTTCAATGTGGCATGACATGCAAAGGCCTAAATCTTTAAAATATGAGCCTCTCCCACCCCCAGACCACAACGCTGGAGGTCCAGAGACCCTGTGAGGCTACCAGCTAGCCATGTCACCGTGGACAAGTAACTTTGCCTCTCTGTTGCTGTGAGCACCGAGTGCTCCGGGCCCCCCAGCTGCAGAGTTCAGGGACTCACACAACTGAGGAGCTAGGCCTGGCTGAGGGGCCACTGCACAGGCTCCACGCAGTGTAGAGCTGAGTTCAGCCAGTCACTCTTCCTTTCTGTCTACAGAGCTTTAACGAAAACAAGACTCTGGCTGGAAATACACAAAAAGAACCTACTGGAAAGATGTCAGCTGTCTCAGGCGATAGCAGTTTCATAGAAACCAACCCCGAGCAGTCACAGCCCCATATTCTATAGGATGTGGTGCCCTGAAGACCATCTGCCTGCTCCCCACAGCCCCCTCTGCACCCCTGTGTCTCTGACACAGGCCTCTCAGACTGTTCTGTTAGGTGCCAGCTCTTCACGATTCCCCTTTCAGAATCTCTCACCGACTGAGACCGAGTCCGGTGCCTTTGTGTTCTCCCTGCTTCTCAAGGCGGCTGGAGCATCGCTCCACTCAGGCTGGTGCTCACAGACATCAGGAGACAGATGCTTTCTTTGGTTGCTAGGCAACAGTGACTGAACAAAAATAATTTGTTTTTAAAACAACCTGTCCCTACCCTGAAGGGAAAAAAGTCATCTATCTGGGACAGGACCGTGATCCTGACCTGGAGTTCACGTATCTCCTTACCTTAGTAGGCTCCGGTTCCCATCTGAATGATTAATCAGAAAGCTGAGAGGAGGCAGGAAACCTGTCTCCTCCAGGGTTTTGTAGCGCCTGGCTGCAGACCCTGGAGTCGACTGACTGCGCGGGGGTTGCCCAGGAGGCCAGTGACCCTCCACTCCTCACAGGCTTAGGGTGATTCTACTTGAGGACACAGACATGAGCTGTGGAGACCCTGAGGAACCATCGCCACTTCTGTGACTCACACACGCTCGCCTCCTCATCTGTGGACTCCCTCCTTGCTCATGGCTCCCCGTTGTTCCTGGAAGAAGATCTGAACTCCTAAGCATGGCCTGGGAGGGGGCTCCTCATGCCCTGGGCAGGGGCCCAGCTTGTCATTTCGGCCTGTCTGGGCCTGGGCATCTGTGAGCAAGCCACTTCGTCTTCATTCCACACCTCTCCACTGACTGGCGCCTGCTGCCTCAGGTGCTCTGTGAGGGACAGTAAGACTCTAGACTGGGATTCTCACCAGCTGGCCGTTCTGTCCACATTGAGTTCATACTGCACCCGGAAGGATCCAGGCTTTGTGAGCCTAAAGTTTATACAATTTGAATTTCATACACTTTAAGAAAAAGAACACAAAATTGAATATTTAGAACCATTAATCACCACAAGTTACAGATTTCAAAGAGCTAACAAATACTACAAACATAAAAATGTAGAAAAAAAATCAGTATTAATATTATCTTTCTTATTGACTGACTGACATACCCTAAAATCTTTTTTTCTTATATACTCTTTTATTACCTCTTAATATGACAAAGATTTTGTAATATTATTTTCTACAGAGAGATTGGAAAGACACTTCAGTCTTTCCCCTAGTGTGGCTGTTTACAATTTATTTTTGATCATAAATAAAATACTAGAATGAACTGAGAGTTGTTTTTCAGCTTCCTGACTCCGTGTTGGCGATGCCTCCTCTGTAACGTTTTCCACAGTTTCCTGCTCAAGAGTGCTCCTTGCCCAAGGACAGCCCGTGGAGAACTTGAGCCTTGACCTGACTGGGCTTGTTGACCACCCCCCAACCCCCGCCTCAGCTGAGGCTGCTGCAGCTGGTCCAGTCCTGTGGCCGAGTACCGTCCATTCCGGTGCTGCCCTCCCAGCTCCAGTCTCTGGAGACAAAGAGAGGGTCCCGGTGCTCAGCGGTCCCTCAGGGGCTGTTTGCTGCCAAGATCCACCATTGGTGGAGGTAATGCTAACAGTGTGCTCGGCACACAGCAGTGCCAGGACCACCACCAGGACTACCACCAGGACCACCACCAGGCACGAGGTGGCCTCAGGCTGGGGCCGTGCTGCCTCCACCCCACACCCCTCCTGGAGGACACCTCTGGCCTTGGAAGACCCAGGAAAATGAGGGGCCCTCCACTCAGGCTGATTTAGCTTTGGGAGAAAACCCACCTCTTCTCACGCTTCTTGTTCTCGAGACACTAAAATCAAAACAAAACAACGCAACAGCCAACACCACTTTTATTCCACAGTGAGGAAGTTCCCATTTTCATGGCGTGTCCTTGAGGCAGATGTAAGGGCAGTATCCGTGTTTTACATGAAAGGAAAGCAAGGCACTGAAACAGGAGCAATTTGCAGGAGAAAGTCCATCTGGTCGGGTGTGACTCCCAGGCTCTGCATCTTCACCAGACGTTTTAACGTCTCCAAACTTTTTACAATTCCTAAAATATTCATGATGTCTACATATAATATATTGACTGGATACTGTGGAGATGGTATTACATTTCCACAGAATGTTGATGTGAATTTTTCACCTTCCTCAAACTTTATATTTAAATCACTGAAAAGTAACACTGCTACATGGTCTGATAATGGAATGATAACTACGTGATTTTGAGTGAGTTCCTTAACTTCTGCACTTTATTTCCTTCCTTGTGTCAAGTGCGGTTGGTGAATATCTACCTCGCACGTTGTTCCACATGTTGGAAATATCATGGGTATATGTTTGGCCCAGGACGTTACAGGTCTTTCACAAATGGTGGTTATCACCATTATAGTGTTTGCATCTCATTCAATTGTATTTATTCGTCCTTTGCTCTTTAAAGTGTTCTCTTGGTGGGTTTACGTGGAATGTTCTTATTTCGATGGTAACCTCCTAACATGTGAACATCATGTTTTCTATCTTTGTGCTCCACACATAAGATGCATTATAATGCTTTGTGCTTATCACACACTCACTAAATATCATCTGATGTGGGAAATTTTTAATGTCTTGAATGTAATGAGAACTCTGAACACATCTCGGCAGATACAATCTCTGCCCTCTCATTTGTAGAAACATTCTTGCTCTTATTGGATGAACAATTGCGGTCAGAAGGGGCCAATGAGATGGTAGTGTTTTGGCATTTGCGTTGTCTAGGGGGAACACTGTACGCACACATAGACAGCGTATGGTCAGCCAGCACATGTGAGCACAATGTTCTTGCATGGAGAAAGAGATGAGATTTAGGAATCTTCCGTGTGAACACCAGAGACCAGACATTCGAGGGTGACAAGGCTATGACTGCTCACCCCAGGATTCCGACAATGCCTGAGCACATCTGGGCAAGTCTGGAGGACAAGGGATGCGGAGGTACCAGGATTCTACCTGCATCAGTGGTTCTCACCGTCAGCTGTGCTTTAGAATCGCCTGAGGAGCATTTACAAGTCCGAAGAACAATTAACTCAGAATCTATGGCGGCCGGCCCCGTGGCTTAGCGGTTAAGTGTGCGCGCTCCGCTACCGACCGCCCAGGTTCGGATCCCGGGCACGCACCGCTTGTTGGGCCATGCGGAGGCGGCATCTCACGTAGAGCAACTAGAAGGATATGCAACTATGACATACAACTATCTACTGTGGCTTTGGGGAGAAAAAGGGGGGAAAAGAAAAGGAGGAAGATTGGCAATAGATGTTAGCTCAGGGCCAGTCTTCCTCAGCAAAAAAGATGAGGATTGGCATGGATGTTAGCTCAGGGCTGATCTTCCTCACAAAAAAAAAAAAAGAAAGAAAAAGAATCTCTGAGGGAGGACTCAGGCGTCCACACTCTTTAAATTTCTCTGTGGGTCCCGTACGCAGATGACGTTGAGATCCACCGGCTCGCGAGAGACCGGGGACATCCTGGGAAATGCCCCATTGTTGCAGTTACATAACCTTTAGTCTGAGGGAAAGTCTTCTTCACTTTCCAAAAGAATCCTGAGGAAGATGGACCACTTTTTCCCTCCGGTCGTTGTCTTCAGATATGACACCCAGCTCTGTGGCAGTCGACTTACCACCAGTCTGAAGAAGATACTGTATAGATGAGGGCAGAGCCAGAGAACGTCCAGTTACGTGTTTCTATGTTTTAAAGTTCTTATTTTTAAAACAATTCTTATTTTTAAAGCCAGTTTTAGTTGGAGACTAAGTGATACACTCCCCTAAATCTAACCCCGAAACTCAAGCCACGGTCCTCAGTAGAAGGGACTGCAATAGAAGAGCCAATAAAAATAAAACGCATGTGTTTTTATTAGTCCCTGTGATTACCTAGGGCTTTGGAGCACCAGTTGGCAGCAGCAATGGTACCACAGCTCCTGCCACGATGGGAGGCGAGGTCACCAGCTGTGGCCACAAACTAGGAAGGCATCCTTAACTTCAGACATCAGCAGCTTGGCCGTTAGGCGTCGGTAGCTTTGATGCAGATGTTTGTAGGGAAGGAAAAAGTTTTCCTCTATCCTCTTAGATTATGTATCTGCGGCCTGTGAATTAAACTGACAAAAGACAGATTAACAGGAAAAAAGGTATAACAATTTCTATTGATGTTAGTGTTTTTATGTGCATGGGGGCTTCACAGGAAAGAAGTGAAAATCCAAAGAAGTGATTAGGCTCAGGCGCTTATGTACCGTTTTAACAAAGGGCCATAAATTGTAAGAAAGTGACTAGGAAACACATGGGGGAAACTAATGGTTGATAAGGGTTATTTAGTAAAGTTTGTGTCTGCAGACTCATCTTGGTGCCGCCTTGTCCCAGGTAATAACAGTCATCCTCCTCTTGCTGGTCTGGGAGAGGGGGACACTGTCACAGGAGGAATTTATGCCCTGATTTTCAGCAGGCAGGGGGAGGGCAGAGAGCTTCTCCTGTGTCTGACTTTTCTCAATTGCCTTCAAATCAAAATAATCCTCATAGCATAGTGGCATATGGTGGGATGGCATATTCTGATCCCCTTCACCTTGCCGGGCGTCTGTGAGAGCAGCAATGACACGCCCTTTGTGGGCACCAGCTGCCATCTTCCCTTGAGGCAGAACCACGACAGCAGCAAGAGACGTATTACGGGACATTTGTCTGCATTTAACAGAAACTCAACCTGAACTATCTTACACAAAAAGGGAATTTATTGAAAGGAGGCAAAAAACTGTCACAGAATCCAATGGCGGGGTATAGCAGGCTGGGCCAAAGGGACAGAGCTGGGGTGTGCATGTGGAGAATCGGGAGTCATCTCTATCTCCCCTCTCTGCTTGTCTCTGGATGTCTGCTCCATTCCTCTCCCTCTGTGTCTCTGCACCTGCTTTCTCTCTTCACCAGCCCCCAAGGCAGAAAATGCCTGCCTCTGACACTCCCAGCTTCTCACACTTCGTCCAGCCACACAGAGAGATGTTTCTCTCTCATTTCTTGGCTCTGTTCCAGTTCTGAGAGTTCCCCAGAAGTTATTGCATGGATCCGCTTGGGTCTGCTACTGGCCCCATCAGCTGCATCCAGGGAGCAGGGTCTCACCTGAGGAACACGGAGGCCCACTGCGCCACACAGATGAGAAGGGGAAGGTCAGTTCCTAGACCAGGTCCTCCTTGGAAACCAAAGAGTACCACTACCCCAACTCCCAAGGAGCTGTGATAGGAAAGACGACCAGTGCTGGGTGACCTAGAGACCCACTTTGCAGATCACACATGACACTTCAACCAGCAACTCCTAAAACCACTGGAAGGGACTGACAGGATTTTGAGGTTCGTGTGGAGCTGCTACAGCTAGAGACTGGAGACATGGACGTGGGCGACACCACCGCTTTATTCTTACCTTCTGACTTGTGTGCTCAGGAAGGAAATATGTATTCTGGCAAGAAGTGGCCGTCAGATTCCCCCACTGTCCTTACCACCATCACTTAGAAACGACTCCTTCCCTTCACCTTCCTTGAGATCCTGTTATAGGCTGATACACAGCAACAGGAACGCTGTGCCAAAACTGCCTGCAGTGAGCACACTTTCCTTCTTCACCATATTGGACATAAATGGGGAGACTTGAAAGGCAGCATGTTAGTGGAAAATGCAGACTTCAGAGCCAGAAATACTCATTTAAAAAATTTTTTTGAAGTAATTATAGACACAGAAAAAAATCGCAACAGTAGTGCGGAGTTCCCATTTATCCCTCACCCAGTTTAACCTCTTACATGACTATCGAACGATGATCAAACTCAGGAAGTTAACGTTGGCACCACACTATCAGCCAAACTACAGACCTCGTTTGAATTTCACCAGTTTTTCTTTTTTTTTTTTTTTAAAGATTTTATTTATTTATTTTTCCCCCAAAGCCCCAGTAGATAGTTGTATGTCGTAGTTGCACATCCATTCTAGTTGCTGTATGTGGGACGCGGCCTCAGCATGGCCGGAGAAGCGGTG